TTGTCGAAAGTAAAGAACATAGTGTCGTCAGCGAATAGTGAGAGGTGAGCTTTAGGAGTTGTTGGTATGTCGTTAATGTAAGTCAAGTAGAGAGTAGGTGAAAGGCAGGATCCTTGAGGGACGCCTGCGAGTATGTGTCTGGTGGACGAGAATGAGTCTTCGATTTTTGTGACAAAAGTGCGGTCAGTGAGAAAGGATTCGATGATTTTAACGACTTCAGTCGAGATGTTGAGTGGGGACAGTTTGTAGAGGAGACCGACGTGCCAGACCCGGTCGAAGGCTTTTTCCACGTCAAGGAAAATGGAGGCGGTGTTTACGTCGTCGTTAAAGTTCTGACTAAGTTGGTGAATAAGTTTGGTCAGTTGTAGAGCGGTAGAGTGTTCAGGTCTGAAGGCAAATTGTTCTGGTCGGATTTTGTCTCGAAGATTGGTTTGAAGGTGAGAGAGGATGATTCGTTCGTAAATTTTCGATATGGAGGAGAGTTGAGCGATAGGTCGGTAATTTTCGGGAAGTTTGTGATCTTTACCCGGCTTGGGGATGGAAATTATGACTGCTTTTTTCCAAGCACGTGGAAAATAGCAAATTCTGAGGGAGCAATTTATAATTTGTGTTAAGGAAAGTAGAATGTTATTCGGTAGAAATTTAAGAGCAGTGTTGGTGATGAGATCGTCACCAGGGGCTTTCTTTTTGCGGAGGTTGTAGATGATTTTTTGGATTGTGCCAGGAGTGGTGAATAAATTAGATTTGGTGATATTTATGTTTCGAAGTGAGTTGGAGTGGGCAGAAACTTCTGGAAGGTCGGGACCAGGGTTTGGTTGGAATTGGAGTTCGAGAGAGTCGGCTATCAACTCGGCTCGATCGATGGCCGGAAAAACTAGACCGTTGGGGCCGGTAAGAGGGTGGGATGCAGGACGTTTGTGGAGGAGACATTTGTTTAGTTTGTATATGGAACCGTCCTGATGGTCAAGAGAATTAAGAAAAATGTCCCACTGGTCAGTTTTGTGAGTTTCGAGTAAAGTTCTGATTAGTGAGATTTTGGCGTTAAGTTGACGTTTGGTAATCGGGTCACGGTTTCTTTGCCATTGACGGCGTAAATGGTTTTTCTCAGTTATTTCAAGTTGTATGTAGTCAGGTAGTAAAAAGGAAGAGTTTTTGTGTATAGGGGTAAAGACGCTAGCTTCGATCGCGTGTTGTATGTTTTTGGTGAGAGTATCAATTGCCAAATCGATTGACTCACTGTTGATGGTCGGTCGTTCAGTTGGGTTTGGTAAGTTGGATAGAATTGTCTTGTATTTTGTCCAGTTAATGAAGCGGTTAGTCGTTGGAGGGGACGATGATACCGGAGTACACAAGGTCTCCAGAAGGATAGGGTTGTGGTCAGAAGATAGCTCGTTGAGGTTGTCGATTTGAGTAGGGTAAGGTAGTCGAACGAGTGCGATGTCAAGTATGTCAGGTCTGTATCTAGCGTTTGTCGGGAAGTGTGTGGGGGATGAGGGAGCAATAATGGTATAGTCAGATTGTTGAACGTGATCGAAAAGTACGCGACCGGCAGCGTTTGTCGAGTGGCTAAACCAGAGAGGGTGTTTGGCGTTGAAGTCACCTGCAGAGATTTGCCATTCGGCACTCTGGGTCAACAAGTCCAAGTCGTGAGACGTGAGTGTTGCACCAGGTGGTTTGTATACCGCTGATACAAGGACTTCGTGGCCGTTTAGTTGGATGAGGACAGAAGAGGTTTGAATGAGTGTGTTAAGAGTTATAGGTTGGTGAATGATGCGTCGGTGGATTAGAACAGCCGTGCCGCCGTGAGCAGGAGAGCCGCGGACGGACGGCAGATCGTTCCTGTAAGTGAAGAAATTTGGAATGTGAAGTATGGAAGAGGGGGGTAGACGGGTTTCGTTAAGTAGAATTATGTCGGTTTTGAGAAGGAGTGCGAGGGAACGTAGTTCGTTGAGTTTGTGTTTAATGCCGTTGGAGTTCCAAAAAAGTATTTTTAAGTTACTCATTTTGGGGAGAGAGAATGGACAGGATAGTTTGGATGGTTGTCTGTATGAGTGTTTTGGGATCCTGGTTGTTTGAAAGTGCAGTCAGTAGGTTTGTGAGCAGGTTAAGTATTGATGCTAAGTTAAGTTGTGGAAGTGGGGAAGATGAAAGAGTGTGGACTGGTTTGGAAGTGGCTGCGGAGTATGTTAGTGTAGTGTTTTGTGCGGGGGGAGGTGGTGGTGGAGTGGTTGAGATTGGTTGAACGGATTGTTGACTAGCGGGGTTTTGAGTTGAGGGTGGAGCTACTTGTTGTTTTTGGGCCAAGAACTGGGGGCAGCCACGGAAATTGGCGGTGTGTGAGCCACCACAGTTGCAGCAAGTCGGGGGTTGATCAAAAGTTTTGGGGCAGACGTTGGCAGTGTGGTTTCCAGCACATTTTACACATCGCGGCGGATGACCACAGTTACGTGAACCATGGCCTAAGCGTTGACATGAAAAGCACTGGGCTGGGCCGGAGGGTTTGAGGGGTTCAACAGAAATTTGTAGGTAAAACAAATTGACTATGGAAAAAATGTCTTTGGCCGTATGATTGGCAGCGATGTGTACTGCACAAATGGGCATTGGTTTCTCAGGAGTTCCAATGCGGCGGACGTGTTGAACGGTGTAACCGAGGGATTCTAGCTCGACCTGGAGTTCGTCAGTTGAAATGTCGTTTGGGATTCCCTTGAGAACGACCTTAAGGGAGCGTTCTTCAGGGAGGGAAAAAGTGTGGAACTCTGTGCCGTGTTTGGATAGAGCCTTCTGGACCATGCGGAACTGAGTCGCATCAGCGGTCCGCAAAGTTACCCGTTCGCCGGAAGATTTAGCCGACAGGGAGCTCGGTTGCAAGTTTGGGAGTGAGTAAATAACAGGTGCGATCTTTCGCCAGGAAGTGGAGTTTAAAATGATAGGGGGCGGTCTGGGAGTTGAAGAAAGTTTGGATGGTGTCTGGACAGTAGGGGTGGGGGTGGTAACGGTTTTTGGAGTGAGTGAAGCCGAGATCTTGGATGTCACAGAGGACAGAGAGTGATTTGTAGAAGTGCTAGAGTCGGAAAAAGTGTCTAGGGTTTCGGAATCGGAAGTACTAGAAACTGATGGGGAAGGGGGAGCTGAACGTTGTTTTGCAATTTTCGGAGGTGGTTTGGTCGAAGGGTCTCCAGCCTTCCTACGTTTGTTGTTCCTGGTCATTTTACTTGGTGTGGGATGTTGGGGAGGGGATGCTGTGGCAATGTGAGGGCGCGGCCCCACGACAGCTGTTTACGGCGGGACGCCGCTTCCGCGGCGGCTTACTTGTGGGCGCTGGTGCCCTGTCGGAGAGCGGTGAAAACGGCTGATTTGTGTTGACGTCGACGTCGCTTCTGCGGCGGCTTGTTTTGGGCGCTGGTGCCCTGTCGAGAGCGGTGAAAACGGCTGTAGGTGAAGATGTCGCTTCCGCGGCGGCTTGCTGTAGGCGCTGGTGCCCTGTTGAGAGCCGTGAGAACGGCTGTTTAGGTGATGGTTCGGGTGTGAACCGTGGGCGCTGATGCCCTGTTGAGAGCGGTGAAAACGGCTGTTTGGTTACGGTTCGGGTGTGAACTGTGGGCGCTGATGCCCTGTTGAGAGCGGTGAATACGGCTGTTTGAGGAGCTGCTGTTGAAGGCTGGCTGCAAGTTGAGTGGTGTTGGACTTGTTCGGATGTGAACTGAAGTATAACAGGAAGATGATGCGATAATGAAGATGATAAAATGGTGACTAAGTTATCGAAATCGTCCGGTATATATACCCTTTTTGATAACTTAGTCTTGATTGGTCAGTGTATTCTGTTTTGACAGATGAACATCACACCGTTGTATTGCTGTTTGTCTTTACTTGGTGTGGTTTTCATCTGTCCAATTGTTTCGTTCTATCCCGTCATTTTATTGCTCCGTTACAAATTGTCTACGATAATATATGACGAGCGTCTCATTGCAGCTTGGCAAATTGGCTGCTGCGCGCGCAGCTCCTCTTATCATACCATTATAATATTGTATTTATCTGTGGTATAAACTGATATAATTTACAAAACATGAATAGTGAACACCTTAAGAATTTTGGTAAGTATTTGTATAGTTTAATAATTTATTGTATATTTAAATATAATATTTGTTTATCCAAGTAACAAACAAAATGAATATGAACTAATGTAGTAAAAAGGTACAACTTTATATAAAAACAACTAAATTAAAAACATTCAAATTTATAGTAATAGGTATCTAAAATTTAAAAATGTACAAATTTCTACTAAGTTTGAAATATTGATTAATTTATAAAAATATTAATATGTCAATAAATATTATAAACTCATAAATGTATAGTTGCAATTCTATTAAATGCTATATGAATAATAAACTAATAAACACTATTATTATAGTTATTTTTATATTGCTTTAGTAAACCTAGTACATTTTATAACATTAACATAGTTAATATACAAATTTTAGTTTAGGTTATTAATATACTAATTAGTTAACTGAATTTTTGCAATTTTTTTATTCAGAAATTATGCAAATATTACACTCTATGACAAATGTGTTCTTTAATAGGTAATATTTTAGTCAAATTATTTCAGTTTAGAAAGTAGTTTTTGTTAAATGAGCAAGTAAAGATTTCTATTATATTATTTGAATTAGGTATTTATCTATAGTACATCTTTCACATACTATGCATATTGAAATGTATGGGTATTTACTCTAATTATTAATTAAATTTAAAAATAAAAAATGTAATAATACGGTTTTGAGGTAATACATTTGTTTTTTAAAGTATTAGTATTCCTGATAGCAAAGACTATGTGCATACAAAACAATATTTTAGCATGAAGCACAATTAAAACCTTGTTGAATAGTATAAATTGAATAGCTAACCATGATACCTATAGTTGTACTTTCGTTAGGACCCTACCAAAAAAATATTAATAACAAAGTAATAATTGGTAAGTTTTTAAGTAATATTGTTTAGTACTTTTAAGAATATGAATGATCAAATACATTATGAACATTTATAGTCTCATTATTGTCATCTTTAAGTCCAGAAATAATTGCACTTACTTCATTTACAGAAGGCTTTGCTATTGATGTTTTGCTGGATTTCTTTTTTGTTGAATAAAGCCGAAGCTGTGGATCTATTTTCCTTTGAACATTGACTTCTTCAACTGTTTTTAAGTGAGTTTGTCCTCCTTCATTCATGATTGCTAAAACTTCTGCCAACTTTTTTTCAATTTTTTGTAAGTTTTCATTACTATATTCATTTGTTGAACTCAGACCCAAAATCATTTGTGTTTGGCTTATGATTGTTTGATTTTTGTGAGCTTTATGGTGACTAGAAGTTGCAACCATATCCATTAACTTTTTTTGCTCTGTCATATCTGAGTCTTGAAAAACAGTATTTTCAGTATTGCCATCTAAACTTATAAACTCGCGAGCACAAGCATGTATGTGTTTACAAATATTTGCTTTTATAACATTATCAATACAAGAGCATTGAAAAGTGTGAATGCAAATATCACACTTTTTGCATTTCAAACATGATGACTGTGTACATGTTTCATCAGTTTTTATAATATAGTGCTGCTGTGAGGGATTGGATAATGATCTGATAATATATACTTTTTTGTTTTCCACAATTTGTATTTGTTCTAGTTTAATTAATTTACTTGAGTTATGACTTTGACGTACTCTTTGGACTTTTTCAGTAGGGATATTTTTTGACAACTTAATCAAACGTTTGTATAGACTATCTCTGGAATATTTAATCAGAGCATTAATTGTTTTGTCCAAACGTTTTACTCTCTTTCCTTCCAAATATATGTGTTTTAATACTTTATGAAATGATTCCAAGTACATATTTGTATTAATCCCAAGTCTTAGTCGATAACAATAAGCCCAACATTCTGGTCGTTTTGAGTAATATTTTTCGAAATAAACCCCAAATGTATAGGTGTCTTTGTCTTGTTTTAAATCTTTTATGACATTTTGGAGATTGTTTTTAAATTCTTCAATGGATGTGGTTTGTAATAATATGTGCAGTGTCTTATAAACAATTGATTTTTTTTCTGATCCACCACTGATTTTAGATAAATTTTGTCTCCAGTTTTTATCGACGTGCCAAGTACACAGAAGTCTATGTTCAACCGGTCCCATTATAGCAATCCAAGCATTATAAAATGCAGGAGCATCGTCTGTCATAAAAACTTTACAGTCAATAACTCCTACATTTAATTTGATTTTTTCAAAAAATAATTGAAATATTAGCTCATCTGATCGATTTGATAAACAAAACGCAACTGGGCAACCGGATCCAAATTCATCGACGGTGACAACAGTATACAACTGAATGTCATATGCATTAGTTCCATGAGTACCATCCACACAAATTTTATCACGGCCAAATTTTTGTAGTGTTTCTTGTTGGAACTTAGTCATTAAAATTAATACAAAATCATGCTTACTCAAGATTCCTTCCTCTCCGTTCCAATCATTCTCATCCTGACTCTTGTAATATAAAACTGGACATTGTGTTTCTAGCATTTTCATTTCTTCCACCCATAATTTTATACTGATTGCATCATTTTTTTGCCGCTTAGTAGTGTAGTCAATATTGAAATCACGTGAAATATTGTGTAGATCTTTCCGTTCCAAAAGAAGAGATCGTCTATGTGTGTCATCAGTTACTTCAGCATCACGAATCGAATCTATGATGTGTTCAAAGGTAACTCCTTCCTTCAATTTAGCTAGAAAAAATTTATCGATACTTGTATCTAATGTTGATCAATTGTCTACGATAGTATATGATCTATGTTATCAAAGAGTAGAGATAACCGAAAATAACCACAAAAAAAAAATATTAAAGATCCTAGGACAGTAAGCGATTTAGATAAGCACTATCTTAAAATATACGATTTAAAAAACAATATGAATAAGCAATTTGAAGAATTTGGTATGTTCATAACAAAAATATTAGATGAGATTCCGGAAACGCCGTTAACCATAAAGGACAAATTTAAACAAACTGTTCTTAGAAAAACCAAAAAAACAGAATTGATAGAAAAAGTTTTCGGAGATATGACTGTGAATACCTGCGAACTAGTCAAGGCTGCTAACAATATGCTTTTAGAACTCATAATCAATATTTAATTGAAGGTGTCAATTTTGTATAGACATTATTTATGAAAAACTTGTATACCAAATAATACATTCGGAATCGTAAAACAATACTTTTCATAAACAATATTTGTTACTTTTCTCGGTTACGATTATTTTTCTTTCTATACTCCCCATATAGTTGTAATATACAAATACGAATACAAATTTTATTATTTTAAGGGATATTATGATATATTAACATTACATACAATATAGGAGAATGACAGTTAATGTTAAAAATTTAAATTTGCATCTATTATATAATTTTGATATCCTATGTGTTATTTTCATTTATTGTTTTTAATGTTGTCTAAAAATCCTGTAGTTTTGTCTGTATATTATAATTATTTACCAAGAACATAAATTATTGTAAAAATATTGATGTTTAAATTTAAATGAATGACGTTCATAAGATCTGTATTATTTTAGAATTTAGATGAGTGGATTGAAAATTTCCGTGAATGTCTATTTCAACTTAATTCATCTTATCTAAATATAAAAAAATTTTAAATTAAAGATTTATATTAATATAAAATAAAATAAAATTGTTATCATTGTTTTTCTCCAGATTATAAAATCAACAATAAAAAAAGTTGGGCAAGTGCTGTACAGTAGGTTACAAGTGGGTCACTGTATAATGGATGATATTAAATTTGAATAAAACGATTCTGAGAGGAGACGGTAAAGTCTAGTTAAAAAACACATTATAAACATATCTATGGTATTAAACAAAAAATTGACCTATAATAGGTACCTATAATAAATTCCAAATTAATCATATCACGATATCCATTAAGTACTTAAAACGCGTTATACATCAACAAAAACTGTGATACTATCATATATGTATAGTAGTACACTTTAGAAGTTTCAAGTACCCACGAATAATATTATTCAATCACAACAAAATAACTAAGATAGTTATTCTGGGTTTTTTAATAAGTAATTTTGTCCAAATTTGAATTTAAAATATCTGTAAAAATTAACTGTGTTCATATATTTTAAACAACTTAAAAAAAAGTCAAAATATTTTAAAAATTGTACAGTGTATAGAAAATGCTAATCTGAACATTCAGTGAAATTTTCATGTATCTATATTTATTCGTTTTTGAATTACAACAAAATAAGAAAATCGCTACATGAGAAATCAAGTGAATATCCAATTTTGTAAAAATTTGAATTTCAAACGCTCATAAAAATTTAATTTGACTTTCCAGTAGCAATTTTTTTATTGATAAATGTAGACAATCTTATGAGTAATCTTGTATTACATTTTCAAATCTTAGATTTAAAAAGAAAAAAAGGTGGGCAAGTGGGTGTCGCTCTGCTGTACAGTAGGTTACAAGTGGGTCACTGTATAATGGATGGTATTAAAATTGAATTCAATGATATAATATCATTGTATAAGAAAAACGATTCTGAGCGGTGACGGTATGTCAGTCTATGTATCAGACATATTTTATACATATTTATGGTATTAAACAAAAAATTGACCTATAATAAATTCCAAATTAATCATATCACAATATCCATTAGATACTTATAACGCGTTATACATCAACAAAAACCGTGATACTATCATAGATATATAATAGTACACTTTAGAAGTTTCAAGTATCCACGAATAATATTATTCAATCACAACAAAATAACTAAAATAGTTATTCTAGGTTTTTTAATATGTAATTTCGTCCAAATTTGAATTTAAAATGTCTGTAGAAAATAACTGTGTTCATATATTTTTTAGATTTTTTGGTTATAGTATGAACTGTTTATAAGAACCTTTGTGTTGAATTTGTAATCCTTAGCTATAAAAACAGAACATTTTATAATTTATTAATTACAATGATTGATAATTTTCGAGATTTTGATAAATTTCTTCAAAATTTGATCTTTAAATGGTTATAAAAAAAAACTGTGACTATGTATTTTTAATATTTTTCAACTGCTATTGTAACAATATATCAGGAGCCTTGTATTAAATTTTTACACTTTTTGGCCCAACAGATAAAACTTTATTGATATTTATAGAAAAATAAACTAAAAAAAATTGAAAGCTGTAAATGTCCATAAACAGCTCAAAAAGAGTCAAAATATTTTCAAAATTGTATGGTCTATAGGAAATGCTAATTTAAACATTCAGTGAAATTTTAATGTATCTACAGTTGTTCGTTTTTGAATTGCAACAAAATAAGGAAATCGCTACATGAGTAATCGAGTGAAAATCCAATGTTGTAAAAATTTGAATTTCAAACGCTCATAAAAATTTAATTTGAATGTCCGGTAGAGATTTTTTTATTGATAAAGGTAGATAATCTTATAAGGAATCTTGTGTTTCATTTTCAAATCTTAGGTTTAAAAAGAAAAATTTTTACGAATTCTTAACTCAAAATAATTTGCTAATTTTCGTGATTTTTCCATATTTTGTCAATTTTTGAACTTTAAATGCTTATAAAAAAAAATGGTGACTAAGGATTTTTAATATTTTTCATCTGCCTTTGAAACAACATATTAGGAGCCTTCTATTAAATTTTCAAGCTTTCGCAACCAATAAATAAAATTTTATTGATATTTTTAGAAAAAAAACTAAAAAAAATGGAAAATGAAAATGTCCCTAAACAGTTCAAAATAAATCAAAATATTTTGAAAATGTTATCGTGTATAGAAAATGCAAATATAAACAACCAGTGAAAATGTCATGTATATACGTTCATTTGTTTTAGAGTTACACCGATAACCAAAATCGATTTTTTGGAAAACCAATTTTGCGTAAAAATTCCCGTTTTTCCTTAATTTTTCTTTTGTTTTTCTTGGCGCTTTTGAAAAGTACTGGGAATTTTGACCTCCCCAATGCACCAACGATATTCACTTTCCAATCGAACAAGATACTGAAGTCGAAAATCGAAGCATTATTTCGACTACTTATCGTGTACACAGACACAAAAAAAAAAAATAAAAAATAAAAATAAAAAATAAAAAAAAAACACACATCATTGTAAAATCAATACATTCATCGTTCCACTCAGAATCTAAAAAAGAAATTACGTTTTTTATTTTTTTTACCCTTCAAAAAGTCCGAGTGATCACATAATTTGTTTGTTTTTGTATTTCTTATCAAGACATGAGAATTATAATACAAATGAGGGTTTTTATAAAATGATAATGATCGATAAGTGATAATAATTAAAGTGACTAATAAATACAACATTGCATCTCTTTAATGGTATGTGGTTATTGGTTTATATAGTTTAATACAGGGCTTGAAACCGGTAACCGATTTTTCCCGGTAACCGATTACCATGAGTACTTTTTGGACCGGTATCCGCTTCCCGGTTCTCGAGTTTCAATTTTGAGAAGCGGTTATCAACTACCGGTAATCACGGAATTTGATAAAGGGAGAAATCTATAACGGTAACCGTTTATTTTTAGAACCGGTTAATTAATCGGAAGTATACAAAACCGTAAATCTCAAACCAATGAACGTAAAAATAATTTTTTTAAAATTATATTGAATATTCTAAATAGAAGAAAATAATATTTATAAAATACTAAAATAGATTATTTTAGAACTACTAAGTATTAAAAATTTAAAAATACCAAAATAAGCGTATTTGATTGCGGAATCGTATCGGCGCACTAACAAAAGATTCTCAGTAGTCAGTACCTATGATATAGGTACTGAATACTGATACGAATGGTAGAAACATCGACGAATGCGGGCTGATACATATATATATAATGCATTCTTGTATGTACGATAATCTTGCATGTACGATATTGTACCAAGTACTAGGTAATAGGTACGTTATAACTTATAACTTATAATCAGGGACTGTTTTGATATTCATTATTTAATAATAAGTTCGTTAAATTAGTTCGTAATAATAGTAATACTGAACAAAACTGTGTAGTACTATACTAAACATGTTAAGTTTGATGAAAAAAATAGAGTAGGTATTAAAACAAAAAAAAACGGTCTTGTGAGGTAACCGGTAATTTTGAAGATTTAAAACCGCTTCCAAATAGATAACCGGTAATCGCATTTATAAAATTTATTTCGGTAAGCGGGAAATGATTATCATTATTTCTAAAAACCTCGATAACCGGTAACCGGTTCCAAAAAATTTTCCGGGTCCTTCCGGACCCGGTAACCTATTTCTTCAGGAGCGGTTTCAAGCCCTGGTTTAATATGTAATGTTATCGCTTTATTTTATATTTTTCTTGCCTTATTTACATACCATTGTGACAAAATTCAATAGGTACACTTTTAATCAATTTTTAATAACCATTTACCAATTTTAAATTATATTTGGTAAACTTACCGGTAAAATTGTTCAGTAATTTACCAACAAACTTATTTTCGTAATATACACTTTTCTAATTTTAACATAAATAATATGTTTTGGGCTGGTTACACTTTTAGTGTTTCTGACCGATTTTTCGTAAGGTATCTTTGAATCCTGAGGATTGTGAGCAATTTCGTAACCTTTGTCGTACCTATAATAATTGATAGTAACAATTTTAGGAAAAAACCTAAGTAGTTCTTCAATATCTAAAAGTAATATGGAAATTGAAGAACAATTCGAAATATTTGAAATGTCTTCATTCACTCCACACTACATTAAAAATAATGACAATATTGCAAAACCACTTAAAGTTGGAGATATTTGTAAAAACATGACATTCACTTTCCGATTTTCAGTCTGCAGGTCTATTAACGATGTGTGTCGCCGCCACAACAGAATAAGCACCATAATCAGGTATGTATCCAGGGGGGAGGGTCCATGTGGTCTGGGCCCCAAACCACACCCGAAATTCTTGTGTACCGGCATATAAAAAAAATTAAAGGTTTTATATATAAATTAAGCATAACAATTATTGTACTAACATTTATTTTGAATATTATTATATAATATGCAGATATAAAGTGAGATATCGCATGCAGCCGCGTCAGCTGAGTATATTTTTCACGACCGTCGAAACTACCTAGTTCTCTATGTTATATCAACGCAGAACCCGCATTATTATATTTTGTCCTGGCGCAAATCGCTCGTTAAGTTAATATTTTGTTTGCCGTGCGCAATTCGGTGTGCGATATAATATTATAAATTATAATATTGTAAATCGTAGACGCGAATCGGCATTTATAATATGTGATCGTAGGTCCGAATCGCAACTTTTAATGTTTGATAGATGGCGAATAATTTAAGAAATATTCCAAAATATTCTAAATGGTTTAAATATTCTCTAACAAATGAAATATTCTCTAATATACAAAACAACTTTTTTCTGCGCATTCAGAATTGAACGAATCGTCCACATTTTTTACACTCATAGGACTGCATAGACCCTGCAGCGATATGTAAAAACATATAAATCCGGTCTTTAGGCTTATAACATACAACACAACCGTTGACTAATAAAATATACATATAATACTAATTACACTGGCGATTCGCACCTTCAAATAATAATACGCCAATAACTTATTATCGTGTTATTATTAATGATTTTAATAAATATTTAATGCCAAATATAAATCGAATTGGGGTTGAGTAGTTTATGAATTATAAATATTCAAAGTTTGATGAGCGGTGAAGTGGACAAACATTTTGAGGGGTAACCCCGAGTGGTCCACTCCGCTCGTATAAACTTTAAATACTTATAACTCATAAACTACTCGCCTCAAATTCGATTTTAATGTATCAAAATACTAAGAAAAGTATTCTACTTTAGAATATAAAATTAAAACCCTATGTTGTCATTCAAAAAAGTAAAAAACATTTATTTTCAATTATAAGGATAAAAATATTTAAAAATATATTTTTTTTATAAAAACGTTGATTTATAAACGACTTGAAAGTATGTAAAAAAATATTTTCAAAAATATGTACACTTTTTGAAATATTGAGTGTTGTTTGAAAAAAGAATCATCCAGTACATATACATAATAAAGTATTCCAAATTTCAAATATATTTTTCAAAGACCACTATTCTCGATGGTTTAGAAGAGTAGTTCCCATAAGTACTTACTTTTATTGAAAAAATTCAGAAACCGTTCCCTAAAGTGAATATCAGGAGAAACAAAAATATTAAATGAATTTTAGTTAATATCATTGATAATCAAATTTCATAATTTTATTGTACAAAATACAATATATAATATAAGCATTCTAAGCATACGCAGCCAACCTAACAGTAATACGTTTTTATAATTATAATAAATGATAAAAAGTATTTTTAAAACAGAACAATTTATTATTTTCGCAATGAATATTGTAACATTGTAATTAATGAGATACAAAGTGCTACTAATGTTACGTGTTAGCGAACTTGAGAAATGTAAGGTCTTATTATCGAGTCGGAGACCGGGTTATGCGTATTGAGACGTTTGCGATATTTGGTTATAGTTGCAGACGTGCAGTATAAGCCAATAATCGTGACAAGCATATTTATAAGACTCAATTTAAAATTGACAAAAAATAAAATAATTCAATCTTATGAGCAGTTGCAATTGCAGATGAAAATTTTGTTTTCAGTTATGAAACCGTAATAAAACCTTTAAACAAAAATTATAAACGAAAATGTTAAGATATCCAAATGGTACAATGCTATTGGTTTGTTAAAATTAATGTTATGGTCAGCATTTGTTCAAATGTACATTCGTTAGATAGATGCCTTAAATATATTTTTTAAAGCTTATGTTATACCTAGGCTAGCCCACAATAATATAATATTATTATAAAACATTTTCATGGTGATTTAGTATTTTAGAATTTAAAAACTATATTCACCGAAGAAATAGTTTTATAAGGATATGAATACCTAATCAAAATGGGTTTCAAATAAGTAAATTTATTTATAAAATAAAATCAAAAACATCAATTAATATTTTTACTTGAATATTGAAACTCAATTATGCTGGTATAATAAGTATTTATAATTATAATTAGGTATTAAAGTTGTAACTTGTAATCGGTTTGTTGGCGATTTGTAACACCCATCGAAAACTTACATAATATGAATTATAAAAATTGGCTAGACAAACAATATTTTATAATTTCATATTGGCCACAGACATTGATCTGATTCTGCTTTGATAAGTATTTTGTTTTTTTGATCATGGTTGGCATAAGTTTGAGTTTAATTTTTGATACGAAATTTATATTTTATTCTTCATCACTAAATGTTCCTATAGATTTATTGATACGAATAAACAAAATTAACGTATTTTATTACACAGCTGTTCAACATCTAAACATACCGTAATTTTGTCTGGTAAATAATATTACAAACATATTTTATTTTAGAAACCAAATGCAACGATTAAAACAAATTCATACGCAGTAGTTACATTGAACCTAATATAGTACGTTATGCCAAAATGCCGCATATTAAACTCTATAATATTATATTAATATTTTTGTGCATTACATCGAACGTTTTTTCAGTTTTATCAAAATTATCAAAATTAGAGAAAGATGTCAACCTTGCAGTACGTTCTAGTATATTTACCAGTGATGATTTGTCGTATAGTATTAAACTGAATCTCGACATGGATTTAAACCTGTATATATATTTGGTTCCATCTGAAGCTCCAGATTCAAAAACAGATATGTACATGAGTGTATTTTATATTTATACGAACTGTTCATTTGCTGAATGGCTTCAGAATAAGCTATTTAAATTCATCGAAAAATTCCCAATATTTTATCAATCGAAATTTCAAAACACTTATAATAATGAATTTAATAAACGTTTTGTAAGACCGAATATAATTGATAAATTAATCGATATCGACTCTTTTGTTAAACGCTTCATAAATATTTTACTGCACAATTTCTTACATCTCGCTGATTCTAGAGATTATGATACGTCGTTATTAAAAACAATGTTATTACTTCAATTTAAAATTCACTTTTTGACGCTCCCTGTGGATACTGAACAACCACCATCAGATGATGTAGTAGTACGTTCAATTCTTGAAATAATGAACTTAATTCAAACGTTCATGGCCACGAATTGTGATGTTCACACTCATAATGAAAAATATTTTACCGCTGATAAATATTTTATTAAATCATCACATTTCTTCGATTTTTGGATAACTATTTCAGCTGACACAAATGACTTCATTGGAAATATTTTCAATCTTATAAAACAACTGGGTTTAGAAGATAGTAATAAATATTGTAATACAGATCAAATGTTGTTGGTAAATGTTGTAGCCGAGAACCCGGATCATCCTGTTTTATGGGAGATTTCTCACGCAGAAGTTTATACAAATTCTAAAACAATTAAGATTTACCAAATACTAAACAAAATTGATAAACGTGAGTGTGACCTTGAACTAATATTTTGGTATCAGGAATCAATTTTTAAAGCAATTGTGAAATTGATATACAGTAAGATACTAACAGCCTTACAACAAGGAACTTCTAAGCCGGATGAGATTGTTGAGTCAATACCAAAATTCATTGAATTGCCAACAGATGTCACTGATTATTTTACGAGCATAATATATGATAAGGATGAAGAGAATGAACAGATTAATACCGATGATATTAAAGAAAAATTGATTAAAAAGATTACTGATCTTCGTGACTCGATTACCAATATAATTTTAATAACTTATAATACAATAAAAAATCAAGACGTATCTAAATTAGATGAATTTACAACATATATAGATTTAAGCAGTGAAAAGTTTTACTGTTATATTTCGGTGTTTAAATTCCTACGAAAAGAATTCACTAAATATTACATACCATTTTTAAGAGATCTATCAAAAGTCGAACACATTGTGTACGAAGATGTTAAAATCGATGAAATCGTTCGATCCGATGTGAATGATAAACTAACTGATAGTAGCAAATAGCAGGTGTCAATATGTAAGAGATTAGTACAGTATTTGTTTCGAAGCAACCACATATTTAAAAATTACTTATGAACAAGATGATTTGATACACGAATACTTAGAGGAACTAAATACTATTTTGACAACGATTAGAAAGTGGTCCGTTGAGGTGATCGAACGTTGTACGTACAAGGGCTGCAGGGACCTTTTAAAAGTGTCATACCATATTTACTTTGTCTTGAATCCAAAGCACACTGATCATTTTAAATACAATCAAGTGCCGATGTACATGTCATTGATAATGTCTATTTTAAATACCTATGGTATTGATCACTGTAGTCCACCAAAATTCAATTTCTTGTTATTTAACAGTACATATCTCGAGGGTATAGGCAATGATTCCTTACTTAATAAACGTTTTAATTCATTTGTGCAGAGCCTTGAGGTTTACCGAAACATACCGATAGTAGCAAACTACTCAACTTTTTTAAATATTGACAATTTTTATAAAACATATCTTGAAGAAACGGCTTTGTTCACTAAATACAAAGACAAGTTCAGTTTTTTTTACAAAGGTGAAAGGAAATACATTCATGAAATTTACAACAACATACGTGGAATTAATTTGGACCCTTCACATGTGTTCAAATTGTATGATATATATTTCAAATTCATTCTTTGTTCTATATTTTACAAAGTATGGATTTTTGCTAATTACTCAGTCAAAGAAAGTCAGTCAAAATCGAATAGATTGCGGTTTGATGATTGTGATGACTTTCAAAATCATTATTATATGTTTCTTAATAATGAAAATTTTCCCTCAAATTTATGGATACTTGTGTCTATTGTTGATCGATTTTCTACGATGGTGTATGATCTATGTTATATAAGAGCAGAGAAAACCGAAAATTACCACAAAAAAAATAAGTCTAAAGATAAAATACCACAGTTTGAAAATTCTAGGAAAGTAAGCGATTCAGATAAGCAGTATCTTAAAATATACGATTTAAAAAACAATATGAATAAGCAATTTGAAGAATTCGGTATGTTCATAACAAAAATATTAGAAGAGATTCCGGAAACGTCGTTAACCTTAAAGGACAAATTCAAACAAACTGTTCTTAGAAAACCCAAAAAAACAGAATTGATAGAAAAAGTTTTCGAAGATATGACTGAGCATACCTGCGAATTAGTCAAGGCTACTAACAATATGCTCACAAGACTCATAATCAATATTTAATTAAAGGTAACAGTTGTCAATTTTGAATAGGCATTATTTATGAAAATTTGTATACCAAATAATATATTCAGACTCGTAAAACAATACTTTTCATAAACAATATTTGTTACCTTTCTCGGTTACAATTATTTTTCTTTCTCTACTCAACATATAGTTGTAATATATAAATACGAATACATAATTTAATATTTAAAGCGTTATTATAATATATAACCATTAAATACAATATAGGAGATTGACAGTTAAAAATAAAAATATACATATAAGTTCTAGAGCTACGATTTTGGTGACTTTTGCATTTTTTTCTTTAAGTGTTTAACAGCATTTTTGTGTATTTTTTAGGTCATTTAAATCCCAGCTCTACGATATGACCAACCAATGGAATTGTTACAGTCACTGTTCACAACTATTTAAATAATCCTATAATTGTAATTATATAGATAGGTACCTAATTCATATTCAATTTTATAAATCCAATCCAACAAATTACTAATAAGTAATAACTTAGGGCTGAGACAACCGAAAATAAAAACAAAAAAAATAAGTCTAAAGATAAAATACCACAGTTCAAAGATTCTAGGACAGTAAGGGATACAGATAAGATGTATTTTAAAATATACAAATTAAAGAACAATATAATTAAGCAATTCGAAGAATTTGGTATGTTCATAACAAAAATATTAGATGAGATTCCGGAAACGCCGTTAACCATAACGGACAAATTTAAACAAACTGTTCTTAGAAAAACCAAAAAATCAGAATTGATAGAAAAAGTTTTCGGAGATATGACTGAGAATACCTGCGAACTAGTCAAGACTGCTAACAATATGCTCTCAGAACTCATAATCAATATTTAATTGAAGGTAACAGGTCAATCTTAAATACACATTATTTATGAAAAACTTGTATACCAAATAAAACATTCAGACTCGTAAAACAATACTTTTCGAAAACAATATTTGTTACCTTTCTCGGTTACAATTATTTTTCTTTCTCTACTCCCCATATAGTTATAATATACAAATACGAATACATATTTTATTATTTAAAGCGTTATTATAATATATTACCATTACATACAATATAGGAGATTGACAGTTTACGTTAAAAATTAAAATATACATATAAGTTCTAGAGCAAAGATTTTGGTGACTTTTGCATTTTTTTCTTTAAGTGCTTTACAGCATTTTTGTGTATTTTTATTTTTTTTGGTCATTAAAATCCCAGGTCTACGATATAACCAACCGATGGCATTGTTATAGTCACTGTTCAGAACTATTTAAATAATAATCCTTTTGTAGTTATATAGATAGTACCTAAATCATATTCAATTTCATAAATCCAATCCAACAAATTACTAATAAGTTATAACTTAGAGCTGAAGGATTCTAGTATACTTAAAAATCTCAATATATGGATTCACTTATGCACAAAAAATACAAAAAATATAATCTAAAAAAATGTATAATATGAATTTCAGTACTTAAATTATACAATTAATATGAAAAAGATAGTTTGATTATTTACTTAATATAAAAACTTGAAAAATTAACTGCTGTAGTATTCCACTTCATTTTCTTATCATTCACCTTAAAAAAAATTTTTCTAAATGTATGCACATATATGCTCTTAATTCGACAAAGACCAACATTTTAAACTTAAAATCGCTCAAAGCATGTTCTTCTTTGTCCAAACTATAATTTTCTTACATCGGAAGATACCAAATTATGTTCTTATTTTTTCTAATACATGCTCAAATATGCATTTCTATGCGATGACGACAAATTATGCAAAAATATGCAAAATAAAATCATTTTTTCGTTTAAATTATATTGTAAATTTATAAATTTTTACTATTGAGACCTATGTATTATAGTAATGATTTTGATTATTTAGAACCTAATGATTTATACTTTCAAAATTTATATTATAGAAATATCCTACTTAGCTTATACAGGTTTAGGCATAATCTAGCTAGAGTTAATCACTCATATAATACTCGATATAAAGAAAATATTAATATTTGTGTACCTATTTATAAAAAGCATTAAGGTCTAAAAAGTTCTATATCCACAGCTTCTCTGATATGTAGACAGCTGATTATTAATATTTATAAATACAGAAATATTTGTATATTTAAATCGTTTCTGAAAACTTTGTATCTCACATATTTAAATTTGTGATAAAACGTGTTAATTTATATAAGTTTTGTGATTATAATGTTTGCTAAAAATGCTTTTCTTTTGTATCTATTAGTTTTACTAATGTAAATCTTATTTATTTATTTATTTATTTACGGAATAAATCCATTTACAATATTAATATATAGTGTACAGTACTACAGTGTAACAAAACATATGATGAATATTTAGTTTAGTGATTACATAATATTTAAACCGAGATATAGTATAAGTATAGTTTACAATATATTAAATATAATTACATTTAGACTGAATGAACAGTGAACAATTAAAAACATTGAAACAAAACAAAAAATACATTTTAAATAATCAACCATTAAATGCTGATTTAATAATATTTATATTACAAAAAAACAAATCTAAATTAACTGAATTTGCAATAGACATCAGTGAATTTATTGGGGAGGAAAAAGAATAATTGGTTCGTATAATTTTCAAAGTGAATAAATCGTTATTTCTAGTTGAATTAATTTTTGCTTTAAAATTTTATCTTTCTAGTATTTCTTGGCATTCAATTTTGTTATTTAATAAATTAAAAAGAAAAATGTAAGCTGGCATGTACCTATCCTATACATAATATCCGTAAGCAAGAGTATGCACTATGATTATATATAGAGTATGTCTCAAAAGTCCCGTATCACCCTTAATATCTCCATGTAAAATCACTATATTTAAACCCGGTTTTTTTTACAGTACTAAGTATGAAAATTCTGATTGAATGGTATAAAATTAATTTATTTTTTTCTTAAAATTCAAAAATTTTCAAAAAATTTTTTTACGCATTTAAGAATTTAAAATTTTTAAGATAGCCATTTTGTTGAGCATATTTTTTAATACAGTTCAAAAAAAAAAAAATACTAAAATTAAATAAAAATTGACCAAGTTAGAGCAAGTTATGTTTTTGAATAATTGTAGTAAAAAAATAAATTAGGAATGTAAAAGTATGGTCGTGTGCTGAAATTAGATATTTCATTATTGAAATGTGAAACAATAATTTATTTTTTTACTACTACATAACTTGCTCTAACTTGGTCAATTTTTATTTAATTTTAGTATTTTTTTTTTGAACTGTTTTAAAAAATATGCTCAACAAAATGGCTATCTTAAAAATTTTAAATTCTTAAATGCGTAAAAAATTTTTTTGAAAATTTTTGAATTTAAAGAAAAAAATAAATGAATTTTATGCCATTCAATCAGAATTTTTATACTTAGTACTGTAAAAAAAAACCGAGTTTAAATATAGTGATTTTACATGGAGATATTAAGGGTGATACGGGACTTTTGGGACACACTGTATATTAGGTATAGGTAAGAAAAAATTGTTTTTATCAAATCTGAAATCTTTAATAATAATATATTATATTATACCTATCGTTCATAATAAAATGGTCTAATACAAAATGTAATGATTCTCCTTTTGAACTTCAAAAATATTACCCCCTAACCCCTAATTTGATTAAAACAATGACTATTCAACTATTTTAATATTTTTCTATGATTGATGATGATAATTTAAACAGTAGGTATGATTTAAAATAGTTAATGATTAAAATTTAAAATTTATATTTTGCATATACTGTAGTTTACAATTGTACATAATAATATGTATATCCTTTGTAGTTTGGAAAGTGACACCTTTGTCAATTGCTATTCTAAATTGGCGTGTTGTATTTGTCAAAATAGATTTAATTTAATAGATTACTTTCAAGCATATCAAAAGACCTAAAGAATTATACAAATTATCAAAATAAGCAGTGCAATTTTTATTAGAATGTATTCAGGGGCATAATTTAAAAAAAAATTGGCATTAGAATTCGCACAAAAATCATCTTTTTTTTTTTGTGGTATCGAGAGCCAGAGGGGGAACCGCGTTAGCATTACTTCCCCTGACACAAAAATCATCTGCTAAAGTTTAATTGAATGTGACAGGTATAGCAAAGTAAATGATAAGAACATGGATCAGAAATCTTTATTCCTGCAAAGATCCATTCGTGGATCTGGTGGGCTACCGGATAGGCGCAAATTGGGGGGGTCTTAGCCCCCCCCCCACAAACTTAACCACAGCTCCCCCCAAAAACCTTGGCCGTACAATTTTAAAATGCTATATTGCAATGGTCTGCTTGCATATTATAATATATTCAGCCCTCCCCCCCCCCAAGACAAAAGTTGAAATTGCGCCTATGAGCCTACCGGTCACCTTATTATAATTCAATAGGTTACCAGACAGTAAAAAACAAATAGGTAAATATAGGTTACGTGCACGGTTATCTAGACCGGCGTTATATTAGTCATCCGTGGTTCGCGGTAGGTGGTTGCATATGGTTTTTAAAATCAGTTGACTCTTGACACATACGATATTTTCCCCCGAAAACATGAATTTTTAATGCATCGATCACACTAACAAAAATGATGACAATTCAAAAAATATTATATTCACTATAAAAAAGTTTTTGTACACTCAGCAATGTAGCATGTTATTATACAAGTTACACAATTATAATTGAGTGGCATAATGGCGCACATCCCGCCGCAGTGGTCGCCCTTGGTCAAAATGTACGATAAAGTAGCCACGCATCACTTCCTGTGGGCTACGAACAACGCTAAACTTATTACCTAGTAATAAATAATAATCATGATATAAATTATTCGTACTGCATACATTTATTTTGATATCATACGGCTGCTTAATCAAATTTATAATATAGTATACTGTATAATATATAGATATAGTATATAAAATATATTATAGTTATTGTAATACACGAGTACACGACGATGCTTGGAATGTTTGAATATAATATTATGTTTATTCATAGTAGCCAATAGATATACCTAACGGCTAACCACCTAAGTTTTAAACTTAACATTTTTTTAGATTCTGAGCGGAGCGATGAATGTATTGGTTTTACAATGATGTATGTTTTTTTTTATATTTTTATATTTTTATATTTTTGTGTCTGTCATCACGTTTTGGGACAGTAAAAGTGCTTCGATTTTCTTCAATAGTACCTTTTCTGATAGGAAAGTGAATCTAGTTGGTACTTTGGGGGGTCAAAAGTAAACATTTTCCAGTAGTTTTCACAAGCGCCGGGAAAAACAACATAAAAATTAAGGAAAAACGGGAATTTTTACGCAAAATCGATTTTCCAAAAAATCGAATTTGGTTTTTGGTGTAACTTTAAAACAAATGACCGTAGATACATGAAATTTTCACTGGTTGTTTATATTTGCATTTTCTATACACGATAACATTTTCAAAATATTTTGATTTATTTGGAACTGTTTAGGGACATTTTCATTTTTCATTTTTTTTTAGTTTTTTTTCTAGAAATATCAATATAAGCATTTAAAGTTCAAAAATTGACAAAATATGGAAAAATCACGAAAATTAGCAAATTATTTTGAGTGAAGAATTCGTAAAAATTTTTCTTTTTAAATCTAAGATTTGAAAATGAAACACAAGATTCCTTATAAGATTATCTACCTTTATCAATAAAAAAATCTCTACCGGACAGTCAAATTAAATTTTTATGAGCGTTTGAAATTCAAATTTTTACAACATTGGATTTTCACTCGATTTCTCATGTAGCGATTTCCTTATTTTGTTGTAATTCAAAAACGAATAACTGTAGATACATGAAAATTTCACTGAATGTTTATATTAGCATTTCCTATACACCATACAATTTTGAAAAGATTTTGACTCTTTTTGAGCTGTTTATGGACATTTACAGCTTTCAATTTTTTTTAGTTTTTTTTTCTATAAATATCAATAAAGTTTTATCTGTTGGGCCAAAAAGTGTAAAAATTTAATACAAGGCTCCTGATATATTGTTACAATATCAGTTGAAAAATATTAAAAATACATAGGCACGATTTTTTTTTATAAGCATTTAAAGTTGGAATTTTGACAAAATTTATCAAAATCTCAAAAATTATCAATCGTTGGAATTAAAAAATTATAAAATGTTCAGTTTTTATAACTAAGAGTTGAAAATTTAAAACAAATATTCTCTTAAATAATTCATACTGTAACCAAAAAATCTAAAAAATATATAAACACACTTATTTTTTACAGACATTTTAATTTCAAATTTAGACAAAATTTCATATTTAAACCAAGAATTACGATTTTAGTTATTTTGTTGTGATTGAATAATATTATTCGTGGGTACTTGAAACTTCTAAAGTGTACTATTATATATCTATGACAGTATCACGGTTTTTGTTGATGTATAACGCGTTATAACTGTTGATGGATATTATTGATAATATATGGATATTGTGATATGATTAATTTGGAATTTATTATAGGTCATTTTTTTGTTTAATACCATAGATATGTATATAATATGTCTTATACATAGACTGACATACCGTCACCGCTCAGAATCGTTTTTCTTATACAATGATATTATATATCATTGAATTCAAATTTAATACCATCCATTATACAGTGACCCACTTGTAACCTACAGTACAGCAGAGCGACACCCACTTGCCCACCTTTTTTTTTTTTATCTTCATAAATACTCAGCAGCAAGAGCCAAGAATATTTACTGAATGCTCTATAAACGTTCAATATATTAAATCCAAACATTCATCTCTCCTATCAAAATCTAAATGTTATACATTCTATATGTGTCACGAAACCATCTGTAGACTGTAAGTGATATAAAAAACAAAAATTAAAAAGTATTGATTACCTACCCTGTATAATATGCCATATGAATGGGTATTCACTGTTCCTCATATAGAAAAACAAATAAATATTTGTGTCATTGTTCATGCTGTCGTCAATCGTCATACACACAAAAAGTCTTGCATCATTCAGTAAATATTTATGAAAAAACATCCAACATTTTAGAATTAACAAAAAACAACTCAATCTGTGTTAAGTGATGTATAGCGACATAGTGACATTGACAAAGCGTTATTATTTTAACGATAGCTCAACTCAATAATTACATATAATCTAACTGTAAATTAAATTAAAATTTAAAACAATAATTATTTATTTATTTATTTGTTTGTTTATTATAAGTATTTTAAAAATACGTCATCTTAAATTCATGAAAGTGTTAATCTACCAATAAAAAACATGATTATTTAAAATAGCATATCTAATAACAATTTACATAATATTATTACCATCGATTATTAATTATAAATACATAAATAAATATCATTTATAATCAATAATATTAAAGATTTCTAAAATGTAAGTAGGGACCTACCTACACAACAACAAATATTATATAAATAACACAATATTATACCTACCTACCTTCGTTGAGAAAATTTTAACTCGAAACTCCATTACCGAGATATGTTGATCGATTCGACTATTGTCTATTTGTGTATGGTTTGGTTTTGCTATGTCTTAAATATAAATCTAGGTAAAATAGATAGATATTTGCTAGTTATTGCTGGTAGGTACTTAACACGATATATATTACACCAATGTGGCAATATAATAGGCGTAGTGACGTACCCATAATAATTGTTAACCTATTTGAATAAATCATTTTTTTTTCAACTGCAATATAAGAACACTTGTTAACAACATATGCAGGTATTGCAAATATAAGTATAGGTATATATTTTAATGGTTAATATGTAATATTTGTTTCTAACTTCTGTATGATAAAAAGAACACCAGATATTACCACAGCACCTACCTAGTACAATATCAATTCGTGAAACATACTTAGAAATATATTCTATACGATTTCAAATTATATCAATTTATATTTATGTACTTCAACATGTTATAACTTATATTATAACTTAATATTAAAAATTCGTAACTATAAACAACTGTAGTAATTATAAAAATACGGTATTATAGTTTATAATATAGATACCTTAAAAAAATAGTTTTTATTTTAAATATCGTATTCAAATTTAAAACTTTTAAAGTTATATTTAAAAAAAATAATACTGATGATCACTATTATTTTTCAATTCGGGACACGCAGTAAGTTTAATGAATTATATTTAGGTATAATTAATTATTTTGATAAAGTTTTTAAGTAAGTATTAAATATAAATATATTTATAGTCACATATTGAAAATAGTTCATTTAAAAAATTAATTATTCTATTAAATTAACTTGTTAATTCTTTAAGTTCATTACTCATTAGTAAATGAGCTTGGGACCAGTTCTACTATCTTAAAAAATTCACTAAAATTTTCTCTCTTTAACGATTTTATTAAAAATATATATCTATAATATTATGCCTGGAAAGTTTCATGTAGAACTTCAATATAATACAATTATCTATGTAGGACGTAGGTACATGAAATCCATCCCCCACTCGTCGCTATATCCCAAAAGCTATTAAACGTACGAACTTGAAATTTGGAATACCTATAGGGGTTTCTCTAATGATCTAGATAAGAAAGAATTTTCCGGTGTTCACACTTTTTTTTTTAAATTCATGATTGCTATTTATTGAAGATTATAATAGTAATAGCTAGTACTTAAAAAAAATAAATGGTTGCTATTGGTTGCTCGGGCAGATCAAGCATCAAAGGCATCACAGGCATGCATCAAATTGTCGCTCTTATGACCTCTATTAAATAATGACAGTAGCGAGGCCCCTTGAGTTGATTTGATCGATTTGTTTTTTTTATTATTTTACAATTTGTGAGTGAATCGGATCTCTTGAAGTTGACGTTTATGAGGAGGTAGAGAGAATTCTTTTATTTTTAACCAGATAAGGATGAAACATATTTTACCCATTTATAGGTAGGTACCTACGTAGTTACTCTGTGATTACGACGTGATGGCTGTAGTCTGTAATCTGTATTACTCTGTAATCTTAATAGAAATATTAAATTGCACACGTACTTATTGTAACAATGGCGCAACCAGAAGGGGTGAACCCTCCTCCCTGGCTATAATGTCATAGTATTTAGGTATTTTTATTATTTAAAGATTTCCCGACATTGTTGTAAAAACGTAATGATATCTTATTTATTAAATAATTGTGTTTATTTAGTTTAACATGGTAAATAATCTGATAATAATAGTTGATTACAGATTGTGAATAATGTACCTATAACTCTTAAAGCACTTTCACAAAATAATTATTTAACTCGTCATATGCCAATGAGTGCAGTGTGCAGTGTACACTATTAATTAAAGAAACAACGAGAGCGTGCAGATATACGTGTGTCGTGGGTATCAGCCGAAGAAAATTATTAAAATTATTATTGATTATATTACGAGTATAGGTAGACAGGTAATTTATTATGTGTGTCTACTCAGTCTAGACTAAACACATATTTTATAATATATTAATATGTATGCTACATATTGGAAATATTGCTATATAATATTATAGAGTAGTATAATAGTACCTACTCGGCTACTCCTACTGTAATACGATAGTTCGTAAAATTATAACGTAAATAATGTTGTTTTTGCGAATTTTTCATATTTTTGTTTTTGTTTTTATTCATAGGTGCATAGTACATAATATTACAAGTCACAACAATCAGGTATAAATATATAGGTATTTATTTGTGAAGTAGGTATCTTATTAGTATCTATATTATAATTTATAACATTTAATAATAATATTAATATAGTATTTAGTAGGTGCTTGGTACTTGAACAGTTGAACAGTTACACTAGTACACTACTCAGTACTTACTGTTTATATAGAAGTACCTACCTAATAGTGTAATACGGCCTTCGAAGAAAAACTTTAAAATATAAAGTAGTATTGTAATATTCTGTAGAACTTAAATAAGGCATATATACAATGCCAGATTTAAACTGTTGTCACCTATTTACTTTTTCAAATACCTACTTGACATAACGCTATTGCAATAGTATAATACTATAATGGTTTTAAACTTGTAAATACTTGCAAGTTAAATTTGATTTGATTGGACAATAGTTCTTTTTTACTTATATAAATATTGTACGATATAATAATACATTTCTTGAAGAGAAGTTATTACTTAATACACAGAGTATAGATTTATGAGTATATTATTCAATATTGACTATTGTCTGTTATAGTATTGTATTTTATCTAAAATGATTTAATAATAATTATATGGTGCTTAATGGCCATAAAACAAAACGATTTAAAAGCATTTCCATGTACGTATATTATACGTTTTTCACAACGGAATTTCCATTACCTATACCTATTATATAAAACGTAGTTTCAGTATGAGAGTTGGAGTTTTTATACTGTAGAGTACTAGAGTGAAGGAATCACTAATCATCTCACGTTCTCACCTCATACCTATTAATTATAGGTGATAGCATTTAGTATGATAGGTATAGGTTATATATACATAATATTAAAGAAACGGAAATTTCAATATTATACAAGTGATACCTAACACCGATATATAGGTACGCATTTGAATGGAGCACCATGTATGACAAAATATGATGTACCGATGCCAATTACCAACATATACCACCTACGCTGGACATCGAGATGACGGAAGATTGCAGCTACTGCAGTTGCAGCATGATGACGGCGGGCGACAGTTACTGCAGTTGCGATCGATCGATTGTTTACGTGCTCGATTTGGCGACTCCACGATTCGACATCGATGTCCGACCACCACCGCCGACGGACGGCGGAGGACTGTCGTCGAAGAGGTCAAGTCGTGCGTACAGATCGATGATGATCGCGATCGGAGAAACGGACGTGGTCGCCAATTTCGCGGTTCGGAAACGATTTACGGGCAGCGCGGAAGCGTTGCATCGTTCGCTGGCGGACCGTCACTGCGGGCAAACCCCCCCAGCCCCGCAGGAGCAGAATAGCCCCAATGAGGTAGTTTCGTCGGCCGACCGAGACTCCTTCAGCGGTACCGATGGTCCCGACTTGCAGGCGACCGACCCGCAAGTTCCCGACTTGCAGGCGACCGATCCGCAAGCTCCACACCTTCGTCCTACCGAGTTTCAGATTAACGACCAGCTGCAAAAGTACAACTTTTGCGCAACCTACGACCCACACGTTACTAACTACTACGCTAACGACTTCTTCGCGGTCATCACGCCGAATGCTAGTGACGACTTTGACGCGGTGGACTTGACAGGAGACGACTACTACCGCCAGAGATCCGTTGACTTTGGTGGCTGGGAAGAACGTGCGCCTGCTGACTCGGCGCAGGCTCGATCTCTGGAAAACGGGACGCGGGGGACCAGGGTGCAGGCTGCAGGAGATGCCCAGAAGGAGAAAGGTTCGGTATGGACCAGGTTCAAAAAGTACATAAGTCGCGGACTGTGCTGTCAACAACATTAGGTATATAGAAGGAGTATCCGATAAATAAATTTCTCTATGCCACGAAAAATAAAAAAAATGTACGCAGGATGAACCCAAACTATTTTATCACATAATCACCATTCATTTCCACACATTTTTGGTAACGTAAAGGTACGGGTTCCCTGCAGCGTCAAACATGCAGCATCGGCGGAAATCCATTAACATTTCAGGGGGAGGGGCTTATATTATTAACATCAATGTAAGCGGGGGGCTTCGATCCTAAAAAACTAAAAAATGAGAGGACTTGACGGTCTTTGGGAGGGGGAGCTAGACCCCTCAAACCCCTCGATTTCCGCTAATGAGTCATGCAGTGGAACAGTGACTCCACGTCCAGACGCTGCAGGGAAAACGCTTATTAATCAGAAAAAGTTTTCAGTTTGAATCCTCTCGAGTTTCGGTAAAAGGAAATGTTATTTTTGCAGAGCCCGTCTCGGCATCTGTACAATTCTGAACGATTTTCCTGTCAGAAAAAATTTAAATAAAATTAGCAAAATAGTTAATATTCTACATGTAGGTAGACGTGTGTCGTAAATTGTAATTTCAGTTTTGAATATGTAGGAGAGGGGACGGGGGGCAAAAGTTTTTACTAGGCCATATTAACTGTAAAAAACCCACTCAGAATCCAATTTTCATCTTACATAATTTATAATTACTACAAATACGTGGGGAGATAATTAGCTAAATAAATATAGTTGGTATAGGTACTAACATACCCCCCTCAATGGTATCATTTTAGATTTTTCATGAGTGGTCCAACTAATTTATTATTTAACTACAATATTAAACGTAGGTAGGTAACCTAGATTAGCAACTGCTAAATTAATATTAATATAACTAAAATAGTGAAAAATGTTAAATATTGAATGGGGCACTTAAACAGCCGATTTTAGAAATAGATTTTCTCGATAGTAATTTAAGATAACACGCTATTTAGTAAACATGGATTAGTGAAGTGGTAAACAATGCACTTGATATGTTATGTAAGAACTAAAAAACTAAATCCGAGAAGAAATTGGCAATAGTGCTTAAGAAAATCTGACGGGCATCGTGAGGAATTAATTTTTAAAAAATTAATGGCATGTTATGAACTTTACTTTGTTTTAATCTTAGATCATATACTAGCTAGTATACATGATCTAACAATTTAATAATATTAATTATTATATTAATAATTCATTTTCATTCTTTTTTTTATTTTATAATTAAACTTTTTGAAATCGGCAATTTCAATGATCCACCCTGTACGATCAGAGCCATAGACCTATAAACTATGAACCCAACCTTAGTCTATAAGTCTATGATCACTGATCAGAAGTCACGGATATATTTAAGAATGGTTGTTTTGTTTTTAGAATTTTTACTGTGTAGTTCGTTGAACTGGCGTCGGAAATCGAAATGAAATAAAATTATAATTTATAGGTGATTTAGTGATTATCATATTGTAGATAGGTCATAAAATATCATAATATTATTATTATAGTATTATATATTTATATTATATAACCATAAATCATAATAGTAATAATATAATCCCATCCGCATCTTTCCGTTCCATAGAAGAAGAATATTTAACAATGGCTTGCACTTAGAAGTACATACCTACCTATATATAAATATTAATATAACACATATATATATATGTTCAATGTTCCTTAATCGGCTTAATTCTTCACAGTTCACAATTCCATACAATAAACACATACTACCTACTCATTAGTTATTAATAATAGCTTGTTATGTATACGAGAGTGTATATTATACTTTATAATTTATTCCAACTAAAAAACTACCAATTAATTATTATTACAACAATAATTTCTCAATGCCTATAGAATTTAATACTTAAACAAAATTATTATAATAGTTATGTTTTTTTACCAACAAATCCATCCCCCCCCCCCACCAACACAACAAAAATGTCGCTTTTACATAGATCCTAGAAGTGTGGTTTTTGAATATCAAACAAATAGTTTTGTTTTATTATTAGCTGAAAAAGTGCATATTATTAGAAGGTACCAAGGTCGATGCCTCCTTAAACACAGAAATTAAATTATTAAATGGTCATGCTAGAAAAAATAAGCCGGTAATGATAATATCATTATTTTACTAATTACCAAAGAACTAATTTGAAACAATAATTACTGTTTTTTTTTTCATAATGTCATGATAAAAGTACTGTGCCCCTCCCTATCATGCCACTGCTCGAAAGTCTTTTAAAGTTTTGATGATCGGACTGAGGAAGTAGCGGAGTGAAGTGATAAATTATTATATAGGTACCTGTGAAATTCATGGTGCACTACTCATTATTCAATTATTAACTATTTTATAAAATCATATTATTTAATTATTCTGATTCAGATTATGAAATTAAGAATACTAATTAAGTAATTGGCCATTGGGTACATTGTACATAGTTGTTGATTGAAATGTAAATATAGGCTATATTAAAAAAAAATACTTAGGTGTAATTTATTCATTTGTTAACAAGGCTTGGTCCGCCAAAATATAATATAATATACTCAGAGAAAAGTAAAACAAATAGTTATAATGTCATAATGACTTAATTAAAATGATTTATCATTGTTTTGCTGTAAAATAATAAAACCACACACACATATAAACCCATGGGGCATGGGCATAACTTGCTGTCATTAACTGGGATTTAAAATATTTAGTAATAGTGAAATTAGTAAATATACATTTAGATAAAGAGTGCTGAGTCCTGTATACAACTTAGCTCATTGAGAAACAGTACATTTTGGTAACATTAGAAAATTTTGTAAGGTAGAAAAATATACCCATAGGATGCTAGAAATACCTTTAAAATGTCTGAGCCTCCTTAGTCCACTACCAGTTGCGCACTTAAACAAAGATTGACAATGTTGAATGTATACAAACAGTCTTTGCATATTATTAAAATTTAGTAAAAATTAAGTTAAACATTCTAATAAAACATTGAGATTGAGGTGACACAAAATAACAAATCAATTGATATTGGTTATAAATGTTTTATTACAACTAATTACTAATGTTGTATACAAATAATTTTTTTTCTACACAAGTAGAATTATTTATAGATAGATATAATATTAATTTATGTAGACACAATTTTAAAATTATGATGTAAATGTGATATTTATATAGTTGTAAACATAATAAGTAGGTTATATCAAGTTAGGTATTATTATAAAAGCATAATAATAATTCGTGTCGATTTAAAATTCTTGATTAATTATATTTTTGGTAGAAATTAAAACTAAACATACAATGTACCTATTGGTATTATTTTTATGTTTGTGTACAATTGGCTTGATTGTACAAACAATTTGTAAAAAATTCTTACATCAAACAATAAGCGTTATAATAAAATATAGTTAAACTACAAATAAATTGTGGAATAATTAAGAAAGCTATAGTCGTTAAAAAGTAATAAAAAGTACTTTTATAAAAATATGATCAAATTCAAACAAACTTTCACATTATTTTTATATTATTTCAAAATATGAATGTAATATAAATCCAGTCTTTTAAAAAAATGTTTGTAAAATGGTGAATTATAAATTATTTTAATCATTGTACATATTTAAAAAAGTTACATGATATAAGATAATATTTAGCTTTATATTATATAAAAAAAAAACATCCTACATTTAAAGACACATTCTGATTGAAAATCTTTGTATCAGTTTTTAATTAAATATAAAAGTTTGATAAGTTTTAAAAAAAAATAACTATTGAACTCATTGAATAAATGAGAATTTCTTTACACAACTTTAGTGAGGTTATTCAACGATACGGTAATATCAGATTATACAGTAATTTTTAACTTAGTTCATGTAATATTCAAAAGGAAAATATTAAAAATAAAATTATAGCAGAATACGTGTCATATTATAATAATTAAATTACAAGTTATTTAGACATTAAGATACATTAATTCAAGATCATACAACTTTTGTGTTGAATACAAAACAAAATACATTTTAATTCGATACTGAATTACTATTACTATTAGTATAAACATTAATCTTAGTTTTTATGTAAATATACACAAAAATAGTGTTTATTTAAAACCAAAATTAATTTTGACAGTCAATCACATGTAAAACATCACAATTCAGTTAATACGTATTTGGTATTTCAGTATTTGACAAATAATGTTTAGAAAAGGAACCAACAAAATAAACCAAATAAGGCAGAAAACAAATAATATCAAAACAAATTTATAGCCTTGCGATTTTTATTTCTTCCATATAAATCGTCAAAACTCAGGAACAACGAAAAAAAACTAAAACTAATTATTACATATTAAATAAAACAATTTAGAATAATTAAATTTTTGTATACATTTGAAATTTGAAAAAAAATTTTTAATTTTGATGAATCAAAAATTAACATGAGAAAAAAATAGTTAATCGAAATATACAAAAATAATCCTATTTTTTTCAAAATATTTATTTCATAATTGACTCATATATTTTATGATTAAAGTCATAAATATTTATACAAAATATTGTGCTGATATATTCTTTTAAGGCAAACACATAAAGTCTTATTTTTTATGCTTATATATGAAAAGTAATTCTAACCATAATCAGTTCAAAACTAGGTAACTTAATATTTAAGATAATAATATTCTTTTGATAGCCAGACTATAAAAGTCAAAAATTTAAAGGTAAGAATAAAAGAAAAAAATTTAGTCGTTCACAAACCTTCGTTACTTAGTTGATGGCACAAATAAATATAATATTAATAATAACATGCTTTGGCTTTTTATAAGAACAGCTATTGTTATTGTGATGTGTGAATTAACAATTTACTTCAGTCGATTTTAATGGTTGCATTCCTGAAATAATTAAATAAATTCAAATTAATAGAAATACCAACAATAATAGTCACAAAAGTTAACATTTTCACTGATAAACTATTTATGCTCTGCAAGCTGTGCATGCTAAGTAATATAAAATATTTTTTAAGTAGATATATTTTGATTTTGAGATCTCTTATATAAGTTAAAAATAATGCGACCCAGGGTTTCCTAAAACTGTACGGTTACATGTTCTGGACGTTGTAGTTCGTCTAGACAGCGAAAGCAAATGTTTTTTTCTTGCACTACTAGAGCAAAACCTCATAGTATGATTGTATGGTTTGGTCATCATCTATTGTTTATATTGTTAATATAAATCCCCAACAAATTATTTATTAAAATACTCAAAATTAATATTAGAATTTACCTATAACAATTTAATTATTATTTTATTGGTAACAGTTTTACCTAATTTTATTAACATAGAGTTACCAACAAATATTGAAGAAATATGTATTTTTTTTTCTGTTATTTAAAGTGACTTAATGAATTATTAGAAAGCATTTAAAAATCCAATACTGGGTTCAATGGTAATATTAAAGGAAAGTAAATATAACTTTAAAAAATATATTATAATATAGGTAATTGAAAGTTTTATATGAATGAGATACATAGAACACAGATAAAATGTTTGACCCTGTATTTATGATGTTTAAACTCAACAAATATATGTACAAACCCATGAATTGTGGATAAACAGGATAAGCTCCTGGAGGCAAATGATGAGTAACTTCTTTTTTTGGTATATTTTGTTCTTCTGATTCATTGGGCAAGGAAACGGCAGCAACCATATTTGCATTATCATTTGAATCTTCTATTTAAAACAAAGTACAAAATAATATAAAATGTAATATTTTTAAACAAGTTTCAACTTGACACTAAATTTTTTTGTCATAATAAACCTATTAAAAATAAATGGAATATTAATATACAAATTTAACATCTTTGATTATGAATTTTAAATTGGTAAGTGTGCTATCTTATAATATCGTGTAGTGAATATGTTAATGTTTAAGTTCTACAAACTTCTTAATTAAATATTACAGACACAGATTGTTTATTTAGTATTATACCTTTATTTTAATTAATAAATATCAAATCTAATAAGATAAAGATAATTTTGATGTAAAAAAAATTAAATTAAAGGAAATTCTATAAGAATATTTTTTATTTATTAGCTTATATCACATTCAGTGTAGGTTCAAATAAATAAATTGAGTTCAATTTACCACTTGGCTTTAATAATTAAAGATGTACAATTGATTTATGAATCAGTTATTATTAATAATAATAATTTATTATGATATAACGAACTTCACAGAAATATGTGGGTATAAAAAGAAATGATCGTCAAAATTAAAAACCCTAAATTTATGTAACTTATGAACTTGGACCATAAATAAATTGTTGTGGATTATTTTGCAAGCAATATGAAGAAAACAAATTGATAATGGTTTAAATTTTGAACAGAATTGGGTAGATTTGAGAAGTAGAACTATTTAAGGGGGAATTGCCGGTAATTTTTTTTTGCTTAAATCGATGAAATTTCCATACCTATGGCTTAAGCTATGTTTAAGATGAAAACTAAAAATATTTAAAAAAAATTTTGGTTAATTTTTTCTGAGTAAATAGCGTTTAAAAATTGCAATTTCACATTTTGAGTTCCTTTCCACTGGTTTAGGTTTTGTAGTTAGGAGCCTGTAACTTTAAATATATAATCTAGACATGTTTTTTGGTATACTGTCGTTGGCCAATTTTTGAAATATATATTTTTTTTTAAGTTATTAGGGTTCAGATTTACCTAAATGTCAAAAATTGGATTTTTTGAATATTTTTTTTATCATTCAAAATACGAAAAAAAATTGAACGACAGTATACAGATATTACTAATTTGAATCAGTTTCATTTTTCAGATAAAAAATATTTTAATTATTAAGTGATTTAGGAAGGAACTAAGATTTGGTGTTTTCAATTTTGTTGGCTCCTCCTCTAATGCCTGACGTACGCACGCAAATGCGCGCGGTATGACAACCGAGTGGTGGGAACCGGCGGGCGGCGACCGGTATGCATATGCAGCTTATGCACTCGTAGTCGCAGCGGTGTAGATGCCGTCGGCTGTCGGCCGAGTAAAAACTGCGTATTACGCGCAGAATATTGTATACCTACATCAATCAGTAGGTATATCAATCTATCAATGGTAATATAGGTACGCGGATATTGTTGATATAATCGTGGTTGGTACCATCTCCTGTATCAAAACTTTATTGTTTGTTGTACTTACTATATTCTATAATTTAATAACTTTATTTTAACTTTAAAAATAAATAGTTATAACTTATGTCTTATATAATATTATTTTAGGTACCTACCAGTGAGGTTTTCGTAATTTGTTCGCTATATATATACATAAAACATGATGATTGATTATTAGTAAACAAATGATTGTTGTCCCCTTAACACCAAACCTGACCGAAGATAAATAATAAATATATTAATATTTTATTTCACTTTGTCTTTCATTAATTTTAGTATGGGCCATGTGGTATACACTAAATTAGTAAACTGGTGTACAAAACACCACTGATAGGTACTAATGTGGCTATGTAGTAGGTATATTAAAAGTACAATTTATAAATAATTATTGACTCATGTTTGAATGTATTTAAATATATGAAAAACGATATTTGTAATTTTTTACAGAATTATTCCACTACCACTATTTTTTTTTTTTTTTTTATTAAAAATTGTGCTTCTGTGATTTTGGCCTGATCTCGTATTTTTAAACCTCTCGGAACTCGAGGATCTACAATTTTTTCCTGCTAATTTTTTCCAGGGACTTAAGTGCCAAGACTGGCCTCTTGAGTGAACTTGTGTTGCTCCTAACACTCTTCTTTGGTATGATCCTGTTTTGGTAAAGTTAACTCTTTTACCGCCATTAAATTTTGCTACTAAACTCATAAAGTTTTCAGCTATATTAGTTGTGGTGTTAAAAACTAGACGGTCAGCTTTTCGTGTCACTTTATCAACAATTGCTATTATTTCAGACATTATTTTTCCACTTTCCATTAGCGGAACATTATTATTTTCCTCCGTGTTTGACCGTGTACAATACGCAGGACGACAATTTTTGTGTGAACCAAGAACATGAAAGGGTGCATTTTTTAAATCTTCTCGCAATATGTGAACATTATGCGTTTTTCCACACTCCTTAATTGCAGTCCGTACCCCTTTTACAAGTCTTTCTAGAGGAGACGGAGAACCATAAGTTAAAATTTTACGCACATGAATTGGGAAATGTTTATTTGAAGCCAATTTTCGTAAACCATCATGGAGATTACGGGTAATGTGATTAGCACATTCCAATTTAATAACATCTCGACCATACGACACCTTTTCAACTATTCTGGCATACACACTCGAATCACCATCGCCAATATAATATTTGTACATTAAACCATGTTGTTCTAGGCTTTGTCGGAAGCCTTCTACAATAATATCTTGTTCCATACCAGTTGAAGATCCATCATAATTTCGGAAACACAAATGTTCTATTTTTTTATCATTTTTGGTTGCAGAAGAACATGTGCTACAATATTTATTTCTTACCCCTACGTAGAGAGGCTTTTTGGTTTCTGCGCCAATAATTACTCCCTAAAAATAAAATTATTTTTATGAAAATGTATTTAACTATTAAAGACAACATTTAGATATAAATTGGATATTCGAATAAAAAAAAAGATTTCAAGTTTTTTATTTATATTAAAATAATAAAGTATAGTTATGTATAGTAAGCCGGGATGCTTGTTCGTCTGCTGAACAGTAGGTATCGAGTGGAACTCAGTCATAGATTAGGTCACAATATAATATTGTATAGTTACCACGCCAGATTGAGAATTGAAACCATGTCCGTAACTTCGTTTAGCCCAACCACCGTCACCTACTACTGAAATAAAAGGGATTCCTTTATGGAAATTTCCTTTTTGTATAGCAATGTTTTTTTCCAGTTCACCATTTTTTTTCAACATTTCTGAAATTTGTTGTTCCCATACCTATAATTTATAATAGCATTATAAATGATTATTACCTTTTTATCTTTTGTACAGTTTATTTACCTTTCCTATAATAGTTTCATGTCGTTTAAATTTGTTAAAAGATGGTGATGGACAATCCATAATAGAAAATAAATCTTCGGCTTGACGATGTCCAATACCAATTGACAACGCTCCCCAAACGAACGCGTTATTTACGTTATCCATGGACTGTTCTTTATTTGATGTAACAACTTCCTGACGGTTACAAACATGACATTTGAAATACAGCTTGAATGCTACTCCATTTTGTACTTCTTTGATCAATGCATATCTTCCCATAGTGCACTTAGTACTGTGTTTCCCTAACTCCATAACTTGTTTTATAAAATGTTGTATATCTACTACTCGACGTCCTGATAACATAGGTTCATTAGATTTTACAAACTCTACAGTCAATTCTGGCAATGTAGATTCATCTATGCTCGGTTGGTGTGTCAGTCCTAAGTAGTCATTTTCATCTATATTGACACTATCATAAAAAAACACATTTATGTTTCTGTATATAATATATATTGATATTGTATTCATGCATAAGCGTGCGCACGGGGCAGGCAGGGGAGGCAGCTGCCTCCCCTGCGAGATTTTCCGCTTCCCCTAGACTTCGTATTATATACATTGAATATATATATAATATTGAAATATGTAACTTAAATAAAACATCTTACCTATTATAAATGTTGTTAAAATTAGGTTTTTTTATTTATCATTTTTTAGATTCTGAGGGTAGCGATGAATGTATTGATTTTACAATGTTGTGTGTTGTGTTTTTTTTTTTTGTCTGTTAACAAGATACTGAAGTCGAAAATCGAAGCATTATTTCCACTACTTATCGTGTACAGTGTACACTGTACACAGACACAAAAATAAAAAATAAAAAAAATAAAAAAATATATAAAAACACACATCATTGTAAAATCAATACATTCATCGTTCCACTCAGAAACTAAAAATTTCCAACAGTGTTTTAAAATTTCAAAATATTAAGGAAAAATCGATTTTATTTTTTGGCACAACACAAAAAAAATAAACATAGATACATGAAAATTTCACCAAATGTTTATATTCATATTTTCAATACATCACAACATTTTCAAAATAGTTCGCTACTTTTGAAGCTATTTATATGCCTAAGAAGTTTTCTGTGTTTTTTTTTTTAAATGTCGATAAAATTTTTGCTGTGTCAAAAAACGATGAAAATTTAATACAAGGTTTTTCATAATTTGTTGTTAGTAAAAATTAAAAAAAAGTTGAGCGTATTTTAAAATGTGTGTGTTATAAGCGTCTAAAGTTAGAATTTCGAAAAAATAGCAAAAATTTGCAAACTTATGGATTCAATAATATAATTAAACAATAATTCAAAAAAAATGTTCTGTTTAAACCTAAGATTTGAAAATTTAACACAAGATTTTCCATAGGTTTTTCTACTTTTATAAGAGAAAAAAAGTTTTCCGGAAAGTCACACTATTTTTTTTTTGAGCGTTTGAAATTTTACATTGGATATTCAGTTAAAACATATATAGTATGTAATCTTAATTATGTTTTATTATTTTATCTTGATATTTAAAGATATTATTATTGAAATGTGAAAACTCATTTGGTTATTTTATGTTTAACCAGAACAATACCATCCCTGTCAAGAAGACCTGCGCACGCTTATGAATACATGCATTATGTATATAATTAAAATAAGATCTTCACAAAAAAAATAAGTGTATATTATTTA